AGAGAAAAATGTAGAAAAAAAGAGAAAGAAGAAAACGTGAAAAGGGAGGAAAATACCAGAGAGATGGAGGAAAGGACTTTTAGGTATACTCAAAAAGTTATGAGATTAAATAGTATTCTTTTTTTTTTTTGGTCCTAGCCATCCGGTATCCGACCCTTCGGGCCGACTAATCCGGATTCGGGGCGTAGTTTTGGATGGTTAGACTCAAAGCCCCTCCCAATTGGTGATGCGGGGAATCGAACCGTAGTCCTTCCTACCAAGTCAAGCTCCAATCGCCACTTGACCACCAACCAATTGGTAGATTAAATAGTATTCACATGTTCCACATGAGAGCTGTAGGTAATTTTCCCTAAAAAAATTAAATTCTCTAAACAAAATATTTGGGACGGAGAGAGCGAGGAGATGAAGCTTATGGAAAGGAAGCTTATCCCGACTAGCTCTACGCGGGTACGGCCCACGGACAAAGATTCCACCTAAATGGAGTCTTTTGACAAGTTAATTAAAAGTTAACTTTTTAATTTATAATTTATTTTAAATTATATTATTTCACTCATTGTTTATATATAAAAAGATAAAAAAGCAAAAAAAAATTAAAAAAATCAACTTTTAGTCAATTTCTCAAATTATTCCAAAGTCCGTGCAATTTGTGGGGACTTCTATCAATGTGAATGTTAACTTGTCAATGTGAATATTCATATTATCAACGGGCCGGGTCGGGCCTATTTTTTTGGCTTGTGGGCCGGCCCGGCCTGACTCAAATTTTTCCGGGCACCCACAAGGATCGACATGAGCCGGGCCCCTACACATTGACGATATAAACATTTATATTGACGGTGTGAACATTCACATTAAGGGTATTTTGGTAATTATGTCACCCATAGGACTTATTGAAACATAAGAAAATAATGTGAACTAAATGGAACATAAGTAGATGAAAAGGGTATTTTGGTCTTCTTATCTCAAATTGGACCTAATGGAATAGTCAAAAAGAATATGGGTTTGATGGAATAAAACTCCTAGAAAATGGATTTATCAAAAAAACTCCCAATTTTTAATTTATCAATTTAAATTATAATATTTTAATTTATTTTCAATCTAAATTATTATTTTATTTTATTAAATCAAATTGACGAAAAAAATAATACTTTTCTCATTAAACTCAACGGAAAATATTATTTTAGATTTTAATGACTAAAATATTATTTTCTTGTTAGTTTTATTTAACAGAAATAAATTGATAGTTTAAATTGAAAATAAATAAAAAATTTAGGATTTAAATTTATAAAATTAAAAATTTAAGATTTATTTTGTTACAAAAGTTAAATTTTAGAATTTTATTTTTTTAAGTTAATTATACTTTTCAATTTTATAATTTGACTTAAATTTTAAGATAAATTACAATTAGGGGTGTAATTTGGGCGGGCTCAACCCGAGTAATCCGTGCCCAGCCCAAGTTTTTTTAGGGCTTGGGCAACAAAATCTTATAATCTGGACGGACCTGAGTAGATTTTTGATGCCCGAATTGTAGTTCGGGCCGGATTTGGGCAGAGTTAGTGGCTAACCCAAAGCAACCCGAAACTCGAATTGCATTTAATATATTATATAAATTATATAATATATGTATAAATTAAGTAGCTGGCCTTTAATTAATTAATTTATTTATTTTGGTGGTCTTTGGCCATTGGATTAGCATCTTTTATTTGAACCATTAGATTGAAACTAAAACTAAAAACAAAACCTTACCTTATCTATTCTTTTTTCCTTCTCTCTCAGACTCTCATTTCATTTCTTCATGAGAGTTGAAGAAACGGCGAACGACGACGATGACGCCATGAACAATGACAATGCTACCCTTTCGATTAGCTTTGACGCCACACAAAACTAGTAGATTCCTCTTTGTGTTTGTATTTGTGCTTTAATTTGTCTATTTTTGGTCACTCGTCGTTCGATTACCACTCAAAACCGATGATATTGATTTTAGAGGATTTTGGACTAATTCCATTTGGATCTAGTCGAAGAGCATTGTGAAATCAATCTGGGCGTTGCAACAATAGAGCTTGCACTTGCTAATTTTCTTTACTCATTTGATTGAGAATTACTTGTTGGGATGAAAACCGAAGATATTGATACTGATATCAATCTTGGTCTCACAATGTATTAGAGAAATGTTTTTTGCCTAATGCCTAAGAACTGCTCTGTTTGTTGTGTGGAATAATGAAGCACTGTTTGTTGCCTTATGAAATTTACTTTTATATGTAGCAGTGTTTGTGGTTGTGATGATGTTTAAGTTTGTTAGATGGACTAATGGATTTGCGTATATAATGAAACACTGTTTGTTGTATGGAAAAATTCAGAAGCTGTTTGTTGCCTTGTGAAATTCGGGCAATTCAGCTTAACCCGAGTTCAAATTATGAAGTTTGGTCTGGACTTGGGCAGCCATGCTCGGGTTGATGGTCGGACTTAGGCATTACTAAACACAATTCGGGTTGGGCTTGGGCAAACCTTCAACCCGATCGAATCCGCCCGAGTTGTGCCTATAATTACAATAAAAAAAAATCACAAGGTATCAATTTTATGACAATAAATTTTTAATTTTATTAATTTAAATCATAATTTTTTGTTTAACTTTTAATTTAAATTATCTATTTATTTTCGTTAAAAAAAAAATTAATCAGTAAACTTAAAAACATTTTTCGTACAATACTCATCCATCTCCGACTCCATTACAACCAACCAGCAAAAATTGAAGAGTACCAACGAGGCTAGTTTTACATACTCTTTTGGGCATGCGGGTTAGGGATGGGTTGGGTTTAAAATAATTATAAAAAAGTAAAATAAGTTTTTTTTTTTATTATCTTAGATTAAAAGTTGTTACATTCAAATTATAATTATTTTATTTTTTTTTCACAAAAGTCAAAAAGTTCATCTCAAATAAGGCTAAGCCAAAAAGTCAATTTACATCCCAAACGAAGCCCTAAAAGGCTTGAGAACCTAATTATTTTAGTTAATTTTTATTTTTTTGATTATTTTAATTTGATTAAACAAGTTATATTTAGGATGATAATTGACTTCTTTTTTTTTTTTTTAGTTGATTTGATAGTTATGAGAAAAAAAAATGATTATGATTTTTTTTTGAACTAGTAGAAAAATGATTATGGTTTAGATATCATATTTTGTCTTATTGATTATTTTAATTTATTTTATTTTTATTGACTATTTTATTTAAAAATCATATTCCCAAACACCCCAAAAACATACAAATATTTACAAGAAATTATCCGAATCTTGAGAGATGCTATGGAAACCCACCTTGAACGAGGTTCCACGCTCTGTATTGTACAATTTGTAAGAGATATATAATCCGATTGTAAGAGGTTCCACACCAATTGGACAACATAATCCGACCCATTATGAGTTTATTTTGAAAATTTAAAATGTTGATTTTGTATAATACGTCAACTAGTTTATTATATATGTCAAAAATTAAATTAATTAAATATTAATATCCAAAATATATTTGGTTGCACACAATATGATTCTACCTAATGTTCATCTACTTGTTTTAGATCAATGTGATCCGACATAAATTCAACATAAATAATTTACTTAACAACTTCTATACAAATAAATTGTTGAAATTGTCAAAATAAATTTAAAATAAACCTACAGTGAGTCAACTATGGAAGACAATCCAATCTTATAAACAAGAGAATTATAGGATTCAAAATAAATCATTGGATGATAGATGTTGGTAAGGGTTCCATGCACATTACCTCACACATTTATTAATAATAACAAGGGGAAATATCAAATTAATGATTTTTTTTTTTAAAAAAAAAATTGTAAATAAATGATTAATTTTATAAATATTAATAATTAAAATTATATTTTTTCTCCATCATTTTGTAATTATTTTTAAAAAGATGGACTGAAATGTAATTTTTCCTAATAATAATCTCTGTCACCTACCATCCAAAAGAGAAAGTCAACACCAATCAAACAAACAAAACAATAATTATCTTATAATCTTCAATTTTTTTTTTTGTAATTATTATTATAATTACATTTTAGTTATCATGTATAATGTGCCTGTTTGGTGCAGCTTAAAAGCTGCTTATTTCAGCTTTCAGCTTAATTTAAGCTATTTTGATGTGTTTGGTTTAGCTTATAGCTTATAACTTATAACTTTTTGGAAGTCAGAAATCAGCTTATTCTTTGAGTGGGGCAGGAGATACCTAATTTATAAGTCAGAAATCAGCTTATGTTCATAGTTATAAACTATAAGCTATTTAGGCATAAGCTATAAGCACTTTTTCACAGCTCTACCAAACAGGGCCAATGTGTCAATGGTGAACAAATACTTTCCGATGTATTAAAAAAAAAAAAAAAAAAAAGAAGAAGTTGAACAAATAATAGAATGAAAGTTTCATTCTATTAATTTAATATTTAGAGCAATGTTTTTAAGTTAAAATGTAAATATGTTAAATTATTTTGAATTATTTTTTGATATATAAATTAATCGGTGGGTCTCGCTCAATTAACTACAACTCTTGCATTTCGAAAAGAAATCAAATATTCGAATTTCCTTTCCGTTGATATTTATTATTAATTTTTTTTTATTATTTATGATACACACATTCTTTGAGTGTGTATTATACGTCTCTTAATTATAACTTTTGAAATTTTTTATTATAATTTATTAGAGGTATTAGTTCAACTTGATTATAACTTAATTATATTTATCGTGATATTAATTATAATTTATTGTGATATTAGTTATGATATTGTTTTGATTATACTTTATATAGTGTTTGATTATAACTATTTTTTTAATTATAATTTTTATAAAATTGAGTTATTATGGCATTTGTGAAAATTAACCCCACAAATCTCATCACTTTTATTTTATATATATATATTTGTGAGATAAACCCAAGGAGGGAGGACCCAGTCCATATAACCCTGGATTAACCCGGGTTTATAATGTTCCACTTCTATAAAAGGCCAAGCGAGCAGGGCCACCGCACGAAGAAGAGTGCTTTAGTGCTCACTTCTCTCACACACTTCACACCTCTACTCAACTGCTCTCTCTCTTCGATCCATTTATTTTCTATTCCAAAAATTTTCGCATCAACATTCCCGGGAAAATCAGCTGCGATTTCACTTCAAATTCCTCTCTCTGTGCTCACAAATGGACACTATCGACTTCGACAACGTGAAGGCCGAGAAGGCAAAGGCTATGCGAAGGTACAATCGCCTCCGAACCATTGCGAAATTGTTCCGCCTCATCGAGATTTGCTTGGCTCTTGTTCTTCTCTCCTGGATTTCAGCTCGACTACCTTTCGCCGTCAAAATCTCCGGCGAATACTTCCGGCAACTGATCTCCATCATCGTCAGCCCTTTCGTCATCTTCTTAATCAGCAACGCCATCGTCATCACTCTCCTCGCCAAGTCCGGCCAATCTCCGGCTATCAACAATGCCGAAACCGATCTCTACCGCAAATTCATCAACTACGGATCGGAAAATTGTCCTCTGGTGCCGGAACCGGAGAAGATCGTGTACCACGACAAACCGATCGTCTCTGAAGTGAACACTCTCTCCCCGAAGAGCAACGAAGTCGCTGTTGTTGCCGTTCCGGTTCCTGATGTTAAAACTTTTAAGAGGAGTGTGTCGGAGAAGATGAAGAGAGAGAATTTGGAGAATAATTGCGGGAAGCTCCGACGATCGGAAACAGAGAAATGCAGGAAAATTGGGGATTCCGGTGAGGTTCTGGCGGAGTCGGTGTATTTGTTTGATAAATTGAGCAATGAGGAATTCCAGCGCACAATAGACGAGTTCATTGCTAAGCAAGTCAAGTTTCATCATGAGGAAAAGTTTGATATTGTTACCTGCTGCTGAGAAATTAAGAGAGAGAATGAGAGTAAAAAACCTGATTTTCTATTTTCTTGAATTACTGGTGTTAATGCCTATGTACATACGGTACTAAATTCTCTAGTAAATATATATACTATCAAAAAAAAGTTTTACAATAGACTTCTTTGTGTACAGTTTTTGCCTCTGCTTTTTCAGATCAGAAATACTAATATTCAGATAAATTCATGATGAACATCTACATATTTTAAATTTTAACGTGTTTTTCAGATTTTTTTTTTATTGATCCGAATCCTTCATTTAAATTAGAAGGATAATACTAGCCGTGGCATTATTGGTGAATAAGAATTATTAAAAGGAAGAGAAAAAAAAAAGTGTAAGCATTAGTGTCTTCTTCTTCATCTTTTTTTTTTTTTTTAATAACTTGTAGGGCATTATTGTCATTTCTAAAGCATAGTGAGGATTTTGGAATGTATTCCAAAATTGGTCGGGAATTCAAATAAATAGAAGCATATGATACCGATGTAATCAATTTGCCTATATAACTTTCTCTTGCTATGCATCATCACATGATAAAGTCTTGAGAAGGGATTTAAAAAAAAAAAAGAAAAAATGTAAGTGAAATATGAATAAAATATATTTATATTTTACTTAGTTTTATACATTTTTTTTTTCCAAATTGTTTATCAAATTTTCCAATCAAACACAGCCCCTTAAAATACAACACCAAAATCAAAACATCAAATCATTTCTAGTGGAACTCACTGTCACATCATTAATGATAGCACTAATTAGTGCTCTCACTCATTTTCCTTTTTGAAACACTTATTTAATGTGCCAACGCCCTATCTATCTTCCTTCTTGTACCTTTTTTTTTTGGGTTCCATTATTAACTACTCATAAGCTTGACAGATTGATTCATTCATCATTATAGAAGTATATCACAATAATTTTGTTGAAATGATTGATATATCCCATTTTTAAAATAATTAATATGTCTAATCTATCACACCAAGTTTTTCACTCCTGCCGTTAAAGTATTGTCCCCACTAAAACAAGTATGCTTAATTTTTGACAAACACAACTTCTATTATTTCAAATAAATTAATAATATAAAGTATTCGATTTCTCTTATTGATAGTATCACTAGTAATAAACTATATGTAATAGTGTTCCACCTCTTCTATACTTTACTTTTCACTATTTACTTCTCTAAGGGATTGGATTCTTTATGAAGTGATTCTCCATATGTGCCGCTCAACTCTTTTTATTTTTCTTTTTCTACTATTTATTTTTTCCACAATCATTACCAATTCCACTATCAATGACAATTGGGAATTTTGAAGTAATTTAGTTGTCTCAGGGATGCTAAAAGATATGTCAATAATATCCTCTAAAGGACATGCCAACCACTTTTTCCTTTCTTTTCTATGATATTTATAAAGATTTATATAGAATTTTTTATAAAAATTATGTGTCAGTAATAATTTTTTTAAAAAATTGTGTTTTAAAATTATAAAATCAAGACTTATTACAATATTTTGTGTTAAATGTTACCTTTTTTTCTACTTGTATATAATTACTCTTTATTTTTTTTGTTCTCCTTCTGTGTTTTTTTGTGCTTCAAAGAGTAGAAATTAGAATGGTTATGTATCTGGAATTGGCTGGTTAGTGGTGGAATCCAAAACACAATGCCTTTTATAAAGAGAGGCACATTCTATTTATCTCACAAATGTAACCATGATTGCTCTTATCCTTTCTTTTGAAATTCTTCCCAAAAAGAAAGGTTCTGTGACAAAAACCCATCCACCGTTTTTCTAGTTACGGAGGAAACATCTTCCTTTGTGTATTAATTATTCGTACCTCTATTTTTATAAATAATTTTGTCTTTTATATTTTAATCTTGAATCTTTAGATCTTGTTTGATAAAATTTGCGACTGAGTTGAAGACTTCGACATAAGTAAAGATATAACTGTCGAAGATGATGGTAGCAGCAATGATGGAGTTTCACCTCTTGAGGACCTTCGGAGAGTGTGTGTGTGTTTATGAGTGTGATTCCAAATTCTTTATAAAATTAAACTTTTAATAACTGTTTCATATGCATATTACACATATACTTAGGACATTCATAATTAGTTTTGTGATTTTTACAGCAAGTTGAATCTAGGTGTTGTTTGTTGATTTTTTCTTTTTATATTTAAAATTGAAAATAATTTAATATTAAAAATTTAGTAACTGTCTTGATCACTCATTAAAAGAAATTCTCAAATATTTCTTTGTTGATTAAATAGAGCAATTTGGATGCACAAAAATTTTCCTATATGAAAACAAAGAATTTAGCAAAATTTTACTATATCACCTCACACCAATTTTAAATCTGCGCCATATAACAATACTCCGGATTAATTTTTATAATTCCCAAGCACTTTGTATTTTGAAATAATTATAGGACAAAGCCCAAAAAGAAAACCCAGCCATCGTTTTTCTAGTCAAGGGGGGAATATCTTCCTTTAACACAACCATCTCAAAATTAAAAAAAAAAAATACAACAACAACAACATTGAGAGAGAACACTAGCTTATCTAGAACTACTTTCTGTAATTCTTTGCAATTTTCATGTATTGAGTTGAGAACTTGCAAATCCTATTATATATATATATATGGCTTTTTACAATCAATAAGAGAGAAATAAAGGAAGAAAAATATGAATTAAGTAATAGGTAAATCCATACATTACACGTAGTAAGGAAATGCCTCATTTACTAAATCAACTTTTGATCTTAACATGGTCAAAATTTGACACGGGCAAATGAGTTTATCTAACAATACCCATGTAGTTCAGTAAAATTTGATTACTAATATTACAACTTTGTTGTTATGGTCTGAAATTTAGTTTCTTTTAAGAAATGGTGAATTTATGGTTGTTGTAATTATTATTTAAGCTTATTATATATGCTATTAAGTGGCATTTTTTTTGGGTGCATAATTGAATGTCCAATTTAGTGTAATTTTTTTGAATCAAACAAAATTTTCAGTGTAATTTTTATGATATTTGTTAGGTTTTATTCTTGGCAATCCAGTTTGACAAAACTCCTTTCAATTATATTTGTTTTCGCACCTTTTATTTCAGTGAGGCTATGAGTTTATTAGATGCGAATCCAACCCGAATCATGCTTTTGTCAATTACCATGGATCAAAACCGAGGTTGTAACAAGATCTAGTTTTCCAGATTTTTCAATTTTGGTCGTCCCGCTCGAGCGGGGACAGTGATGCTCGAGCGGGGATTGCAAGCTCACAGCATCTCTGTTTCGCCTGAAAAAGTACTGGATGGTGTGATTATCCGCTCGAGCGTGGAAACTTCCACTCGAGCGTGAAGCCTATATGAATCACACAATTTTGAAGCCTCCGCTCGAGTGGGAATTACCACGCTCAAGCGGACCACGCGGACACAGATTCTTGGATTTCTATAAGAAATTGGTTTTCCTCCAAAATTAGGATTACTTTAGTTTTCTATAAGTAGTTGGTTTTCTCCCAAAACTTGGACAAGTCCTCCAGATCTTCTTTTTGGATTCTAAGGTTTATATCTGGAGATATTTTGCTAGTTTTCTTTGATGTTTTGATTGAGTATTCAACTCATGGTTTAAAGAGTATACATCAAAGGATTATTTGTTTGTTCTACATAAAAGAGAGAGTTGTTCTTCGGTGGATTCTGAAGAATTCGAGCCTAAAGTTTCGGTGGATTCCGGAATGGCTCATCGTTAAGACAATTCCGAGGTGAAGACGGGGTTGGAAGAGACACATAGAGGTTGGTTCAATTCGGGAGTAGATTCGCTAGGTAATTGAGAGTATACCTGTGTAATTCCTTTATATCTTCTTAGTGGATTGTTTTGCGGTTGTTGCCCGTGATTTTTTTTATCACAATTGGAGGTGTCCAATTGTGATTTTTTCACGTAAAATCGTTCTGTTGATTTGTCTTGATTGTTTGATTGGGATTGTTATATACTACTTAAAATTGATACATAATCACAAATCAACATCTAGGAGATTTCTAGATTTTTCAATTGGTATCAGAGCAGGTCATTCTATTTTTTTAAAAAAAATATATATCTTTTAGAACGAGATCTTGTTTGATTTGTGATAATGGATTCAATTCGTGAGGGAAACTCTATGGTTCGACCACTCCTACTTGACGGATCCAATTACTCTTTTTAGAAAGCTCGGATGAGATCGTTTTTGAATCTATAGATGAAAAAGTTTGGCAATTTGTCATGAATGGGTGGACCGAACCAATAATTACTGTTGATGGAGTAACTTTCCCCAAACCAATTGAAAAGTGGGACATAATTGATTACCAAAATAGTAACTGGAATAGTAAAGCTATCAATTCTCTCTTTTGCGCTGTCACACCTGAAGAGTTTAGTCGAATTTGCAATTGTGAAGTCGCAAAAGAGTCTTGGGATATCTAACAAACTATTCATGAGGGCACTCCTTCTGTTAAACGCTCAAAACTTCAAAGGCTCACGTCTAGTTTCGAAAACCTTTCAATGAAAGATAGTGAGACCTTTGATGAATTTTATGCGAAGTTGAGTGACATTGTAAATTCCAGCTTCAATTTAGGTGAAAAAAATACCAGAATCCAAAGTTGTGGGAAAAATTTTGAGATCCTTGCCCGATCGGTTCCAACCAAAAGTTACGACTATTGAGGAGGCTCAAGATGTTGACAACCTCAAGCTGGATCAGTCGGTTGGAAATCTCCAAACTTATGAGGCACAAAGGAATTTCAAAAAGAAACAAAAAGATATTGCTTTTAGTAGTGCTCATAGAGTTAGAGAGGATTTTGATGAGAATTGTGAGATAGATTCCAAGATTACGGCTGCTTTTGTTAAACAATTTAAAAAATCTTTTTTGAAAAAGAATCCTAAACTTTTGGAATCTACTCATACTCATAAATCAAAAGGCAAAGATAAACTCAAAATTAATCCTATAGTCAAGAAGGAGAAAAGAAAGATACAAGGGAACTCTGAAAGAATCCAATGCTATGAATGTCAAGGATTTGGCCACTTTGCTTCAGAATGCCCCACTCGTTTGAGGAAGAAGAAAGCCCTCGCCATCACTTGGGATGATGAATCAGAATCTGATGAAGATGAAAGTGACAACGAAGATCAAAGCGAAGAG